AAACTGCTGTAGCATCTCTGTATCTACCTCTAGACCTTACTGGGTGACTCTGCTTTCCAAAGGTCTCTGTAGGAAACAGGATGGCTGCCACTTGCCTTCATTTTTGTGGGACAGTCAGTAGTGATAGATCTATTCTCCAAACAGAGCTGAAATATCTTCAGGGGCTGATGCAGCATCACAGTACAATGGCATTCATGCCACATTGTGACATAACACATTCATCCCCTAGCACAAAGCAGTAAATGTGCAAAGCACAGCTGGCATCCTCTTCAACACACAGGTGCAGCCTGTGGACATGACTGGTCCCAGCATGCAATGCACCACCTTCATCTGAGCACTAAAGAAACATTGCATGCTGGGGCCAATCATGACCACACCTTTTCATTAGCCATAAGAGCAATTTGTAATCTGCTCCATTTATGCAAATTAAATGCAACCCTCAGGATTCTGGCAAGCTGCCAGTGCAGCCTGCCTTCAATTGAGCAATGCCTGAGCTCTCCTAACTCAACATAGTCATAGATTCTTAATTGTGTCTTTCCATATTGACTGATAAATTAATTAAATATAATTACTTAGCACATAAGCACTCTAATGCTGCCTTCTGTACAAGAATCTCAAAGTACTTCACAGGAATTAACCAATTAAGCTGCATATCTCCTACTGTGAGGTTGGTATGATCATCCCCATTTTATAGGTGAGGCACAGAGAGAGGTTAAGGGAATTGCCCTAGTTCACACAGCAAGTCACTGGTAGAGCCAGGATCAGAACCTACATCTGACTCAATCTTGTGCTTTAACAGACAGATCATAAAACAAGATTGTAAGCATAAGATCTCAAGCTAAATTCTGCTCCCAAATCCACTTAGCATTCCCATTATAATCAATGGGATGGGCACGCACGTATCTGTGCTGAACTGGGCTTGAGGTTACTAAGGAGAAGGTCTTGAACTCTCAGTTTATTGCAGAGCAGCAGTACAAAATAGGACAGAGGTAAACAAGGAGTGACTGTGCAAGCAGAGGGAGGGAACAGAAATAAATCATTCCATGTGAAGCAAGAGTTAGTTCCCATCTGGAGAGTTGTGTGCCATTTTAGTTGCCATGCTGCAGAAGCGGTTGCTGCCTCTAAAATGAGCATAGTGCCAGGTGGCATCAGGTATCTAAGAAATGGAACAGATGAGGGAGTTTCTTATTTCCCTGGATAAGAGGTGACCAAAGTTTCCCAATAGAAATTACAAAATGATGAAAGAAAGTTAGGGCTAAAAACAAGGAATAATGTAGCATTGCTCTAAAGCAGCTAGGAGAGAGTTATTTGTGGATGGTCTCTTGGAACGCTTCCCATAGTCTTTTCCAAATACACTAATTATTATTTATTTGTATCACAGTAGCACTTAGAGCCCTATTATGCTAGGCGCTACAGGCCCATAGTGAAACACAGGCCTTGCCTTGAAGAGGTTACCATCTAAATAGACAAAACAGACAGCATTAGTTCTATTTTACAGATAGATGAAGTGGCTTGTCCAAGATCAAACACTGGAGACGGCTGCAGAGCAGGAAATTGATTCTAGACCTAGTGAGTCCCAGTCTTGGCCCTGAACTACAAGACCATCCTTCTTCTCAGCCAGTGTTGCCAACTCTTCTTGTTTTTCACAAATCGCACAATATTTGGCACTTTTCTTAAAGCCCCAGCTCTCTGAGTCCTGTGATCATGGGAGAATCTTGGCTTTTAATTACGGGGAAAGAGGGGGGGAGTTTCTAGCCCTTGAGGTTACCCAACATATATGTGTTCTGTTTTTTCCTCATGATCTTTGGGCCCTGACTCATGATCTCAGAACATTTTGGGGTTGCAATACTGCTCATCCTAAATATAAAACCCAAATACAGAATTCACTGTATGAGCTTTATTTTCTCTCTGTATAAAGTTTGGTGAGATAATTTTATATGCGGTGGGGGGAGGAGGGGAGAGGGCTTCTCCGGTTCAAAATATTCCCTGCCCAGCAGTTTAGCTTCTGTAAATGGAGAACAGAAGCTGCTTTTAAAGAGCTAAAAGACCAGAGAGCTGAGCACATGCTGCTTGAAAACAAGCCTCTCTCCTGTTCTTTGGTGTCTGCCTGGAAACACTGTTGCATTAGGACCCTGAAGAAGGCATTACTACTGGAGGAAATCACTGGGTCATGCCAAGAAACAAACTGTCTGCTTCCCAAATATAGTCATGAACGGGGGTAGAAGCAGCTGGGTCTCAGTGGAGAGACAGGCAGTTATGGTTCCCCATCCCCCGTTTTGGATCAGAAATCTCTCTGCAAACAGAATTTGCATTGAGGAATGACTAAATATTTAGCTGTGGGATCTGATGGAGAGGTGTTTTGAAGCCCTCTTTCCACTCCCTGAAAAGAAGCAAAATGCAGCTCAGAATGAGGGAGCTGGATTAAATGGGAATCACCAAATATTAACAAATTAAACATTCAACAAATAAAGGAAATCAACATTGAAACTCTGGGTTCAGAACAATTACAGAGATTAGACCAGCTAAACTGGTGGCTAAAGGGATAATGTAGGTTCAAAATCATTTGCAAGTCAGAAACTCACCCATTTTGCAGAGCAACATAGTGTAGATAACTAAAACTGAACAATTCTTTTTTAAAACCCAGACTGGATTTTTGCTACTTTTTCATTTCAGCATAGATTTGTCAGTTTTACTTTTGCTTCCATTCGCTTTCAGCGCAAGGTTTCCCTGCACTAAATAATGCTGCAATATTTGGATTGCAAACACTTCAGGGGGGTGGCTTTAGAAAAGTGCTTTGATATGATTTTTCTTTCTGACTTCCTGGAGACTTTTGTATTGCTCTTTTTTGTCTTGTACAATATTAGGCCTCAATCCTGTCATCAAATCTGTGTTAGGCAGAATCCTGCACCTGCATGGAGTCCTGGGATTGGAGATTCAATGGATCTAACTGCAGCAGCCTTGGGGCCAGACTTATATAAAAGCAACCTTTTGTGCCAAGTGTGACTGGTCAGTGTCTGATTAGATACTGAGCAGATAATAACTTGGTACACACTTGGGTAATATTATGTGACCATCTGAGAGTTGGTAGTGTTGATGGGAATTTCATTGCTTCTCTTGTGATAAATCTCAGGCATGGGAAATGTTACTGCAGCTTGTTTGCTGAATTGCCTTTTAAAAGAAATCAAGAAATGTCTATTATTTTGGTGGATTTATTTAGTGTAATTCTCTCAAATTCTGTCAGATTTGTGGCAATTCCCATACACACAACAGGTGACACTGTTACAATAAACCAGGTAGTAAAAACAACAAGGAGTCTGGTGGCACCTTAAAGACTAACAGATTTATTTGGGCATAAGCTTTCGTGAGTAAAAACCTCACTTCTTCAGAGTTTGTCTCTTTAATTAACAGATTCACCTGGTCCCTGGAGGTTTAACCTTATGTGGCCCTGTTAATGCTCTGAGCCACCCAGAGCGTGTCTGTGAGTGACCTGGCTGTACCAGGCAGGGTCAGGGCCATATCATCATGCCTACCATTGTCATTGCTGCAAGCAGCATGAGGAGGCCGCCAGGAATGGAGCCCAGGCCAGAGTGGAAGTTAACCCTCTCATGCCCAGGAATCCTTCAGGTCCAGCACTGCTGTTCAGAATCTGTGATCAAAGGTTAAGAGAGGGATATGCCCCATGCCCAAATGGAGAGGCACTGTGGAGTGGTGTCTAGCACAGAGAAATTACATGCTAACTTCTCTCTGTGTGGGAAATGGGAAAGAAAGGGTAACAGACAAGCTAGAGGAAAGCATCTAGGCCTGTCTCTGTCATGGGCTTGCTGTCTTAATTGAGGCCAAGTGCCCCAGTGAAACCCAGCACAAAAACTGGGTAAAAAGCAAAGGTCTGCCAGAAAATCAGGTGCTGCATCCAAGGTCACCTTTCCTGTAAAATACACTACAAAACTCCTGGAATGGGAATGGCATGGGAAAACTGAAAGCCCCTGTCCCCTAGCAGCAAACTGCTATGCAAACTAGTCCAGTTGCCCAATGGGAGGGGTTGCAAGCTTTACAGAAGGCTGCCCTTTATGGACATTCTCTCCTCTCCCCGGAGCAAAGGTTGGAATTAATTCTCTTATTGCAACTGAATCTAGCCCAAACAAGTATCTGTGTATGTCAATCACATAACAGTCATTCCTGCATCCTCAGGGTGTGAAGCCCTACTCCAGATGGGTACATCACCCTGACCTGCCCCCCAAGAAATCCCAATGGATTCAAAGGGAAACAATCTGGCTCTTCCCGTGGTCTGTTTCCCCATTCTGGGAACTGTTTGCCATACCTCTTTCAAGCCTGTCTGTTTTCTTACCCATCTCATCACTATGTGCTTAAATGTCTTTGTTTCATAAGGAATGAACAGGTGTTGTGCAGTGTTTTTCAGATGCTGAATATGAATATACTCTAGGATGCTGCTTATCTCTCTATACTTGATTTCAGGTCCCTCGTTTCCTTCATTCCATGGGGTTAAGAGAACTGTAGTGTGTGAGCTCAAAAGGAAAATTTAACTCCACCCTCCCAAAATGTCTCAAAAAAGCTATTGACTGGAAAAGAGAACTCTGTTAGCCCTGTTTGACAGCGTGCCAGTGCCAAGCTGGGGAACACACCAGGGCAGGATGCTGATATCCAACAGCAAGCTGAACTTTAGCTAGTGCCACACGCGAGGTACATGTACTACTAGCTAACGGTGGGTTTAGTGACAACATTCCTCCTGTTACAGCAGCCCTCCATCAGGCTATTCCATGTTAGCTAGCATCAGGCTGTTGAAGGCCCTTAATTCATCAGCATCTATTTTTTTCCTCAGGAAAGGCAGCAGTTATCTTGTGATTCCAGTCAGACCATGTGGTGTTTGTGTGTAATTAGTTCTCAGAGTCTAAAGCCCCCATTATCCGACTTATCATTAGCCACCAGAGCTGTGCTGGAATTTAAAGGGACAGTGTGATATTTAACCATACATATTTGCACACAATTTTGCTTTGACTTGTTGGCATTTATTACAAGAGGCACTTCAAGAAAATAACACTCTCTCCCTCTGAATGTTACAGCTACCATCTACCTTGCCTGTATTGGAACCATAGGAGGAAACGATGCCCACCGCACAGCAAGCAGAGCTCATAGAGAGCAAATCCCACTACTCTCTACAGATCCTATGAAAGCATCAGATGGATCCCTTGAGAACAGATCTCCCTTTTCCACTGAGCAAATCAGGACACAGTCACCCTTTCCTTTTTGTTGTCTTCACTGACCTACCTGAATCTTAAGAAATCCTTACCCAGTGCTGACTGTAATCATCACTAATTGGTGCCAGGTAATCCCTAGCCTCACTGTTTTAACTGCTAATCCTCATTAACCCTCCTTCCCAACTCCAGTCAATCCCATCTTGTTCTAGCAAATTCTCACCAAGTTGGGCTATTCCTAGCTGGTTTTCATGGGTCCCAAATAACAGCAAATCTAGCCCATCCTAACTCATACTCACGGTTCTTAAGCAATCCCTGTCAGAGTGAATCACCAGTGCCTCCCCATCCTCACGGCTCCTTCTCAGTTCTAAGGATGTCACAGCCGTACTTGTTCACTGGACCTCAGGGAATGCAGCAATGTACACCGAGATTTTTAAAATATGTGCTGACTCTTAAGGGACTTGTGGGCTGGGAGTTTAAACAGCCCCTGAAGTTTCCGGTGCCAGCATGCTCCTTCACGTGCCTCTGAATCTATCGCACAGTGGGCGGTGACAAGGGGGAGACGCCCACTGGCAGCCACACTAGATTCTTGGTCACTGTGTAGCTTTTTAGCAGCCCTAATGGAGAACGTCTTCTGTTATCAACCTGGGGAGTAAATTCTACCTCTCAGTCTCACCTGGCAACGGTTACCAGGGAAACCTGGAACTGCTCCTACAATAGAAGAGAGTTGAAGCCCAGAGACCTCTCCCTGGAGGCTGAGGGAGAGATTCAGCTCTCGCCCACTCCGAAGTAAATCGGGAATAACTTCACTGGCTTCCTTCCAGTTACTCCTGGCTTACGCTGGGGTAGCTGAGAGCAGAATCTGGCCATGAATAGCTACGCCCCGTTGAAACCAAAGCTGGGATGAGGTGTTTATCTCAAGGCCAGGACGTTTGACTGTGTACCCTGACATAGACTGAAGCAATGGGCCGAATTCAGGCCCATAGCAAAATGCCCATTAACTTCAATGGATTAGGATTTGGCCCTGGAATTTTAGGGTCACTGATGCAGTTTTGCCAACTCTCTGATTTTTATTGTGAGTCTTGGAAAATTGCGGCGGGAGGGGTTAAGGGTTCCTGTGACCTGCTGGTATCTGCCTTCAATCTTGGGAAGGCTTGTCCTTATCGAAAATGGCCACCATCTTCCATTACTCGACTGAAGCCACAGGCCACTTTCAGGGGAAATGGGTGGCCCTTTTGTCACCATGTGTGGGCCAGGCAGGGGACAGGAGAACATAGAGGTGCTGGAAATGGGGCTCTGGGCACAGCAGGTCGGGTAAGAGTGCTGAGAAACAGGACAGTAAACTATGAGGGGACAAGTGGGTGGGGGGTATGCAGGTAGCAGACAGAGGGGAGCAGGAGGAGACTGTGATGGGCAGGATACTGGGGGGGGACATGAATGTGGGGGGTATGTAGTGGGGGCCTGCAGGGAGAATGGGTGCAGCAGCTGCCTGTCTTGTCTCCTTGGAAAGGAGCTAGAGAGGGATAACATGGCAGCTCCCTATGCCCATGGGATATGAGTGGGTAAGTGGTGTTCCCTCCAAGCAGTGGACAGGGAGGCCTGTGTATGTGTTTCAATGAGCACGGGAATGTATTTAAGGTTGCATTTTGACCCTGAGATGATCCCATGCAAACTGGGGATAGGGAGCAGCTTCCCCAGAGGTGGAAAAAAATCAAGAGATTGGTACAAAACAGTGGGCTTTATTTGGCTTTAAAAATCATGAGATTTTTAGAAGGCTGTCTCATTATTTTTGAGGAGTCCTTGTGGCACCTTGGAGACTAACAAATTTATTTGGGCATAAGCTTTCGTGGGCTAAAACCCACTTCATCAGATGCATGGAGTGAAAAATACAGTAAGCAGTATATATATCACAGGACATGAAAAGATGGGAGTTGCCTAGGGTTACCATAATCCAGCAAGCAAAAAAGAGGACGGGAGGAGCCCCGCCCCTGTCCTGCCCTAGCCCCGCCCCTGCCCCTCCCACTTCCCCCCCTCAGAACCCCCAACCCTCCCCCCGCTCCTTGTCCCCTGACTGCCCCCTCCTGGGACCCCTGCCCCTAACTGCCCCCCAGGACTCCACCCCCTACCTAAGCCTCCCTGCCTCTTGTCCCCTGATTGCCCC